TTTTAGCCGAAATCGTCCCACATACAATTGTGCTAGCTTGCGACCAAAGTTACGGACTGTCACACATCTTTAGCCGCGAAATTGCTCTCCCAGTTTTAACCGATTTCCGACCTCTAAAGGAGCCATCGTTGGGGTGTTGGTGTGTAGAGAACGCAAGCGTATTCATTCAAGATTACAGCTATTTTACAGTTAAATTACTGACAGTTTACTGAGCTAACAAGCGTTCATTCGAAGCCCCTGATTAGGTTCAGTCTTTAAGCATAAAGTGAATAACGGGTTTTGGCGAGTATACACGCATTTGCAAACTAATTTGGTTTTGCGAGAGACTCACCTGGAACCCAGTTGAATCTCTCGTTTATGATGTTCTCAGACAACTGAATGTGCTGCACCAAACCGCCTCATGTTTCGGTCGCTACGATATTCGAGATATCGCGATACATGTATATCTTTGTGATGTACTACTCATAAGGTTGCTGAAAATCCGTCGACACCACACGACCGGTTTTGTCCCTTTTGGGGCTCATCAGGTAGGCGCGGTCCCGAGTTTCCGTCTGCCTTATGTTGAACACAAGGTTGGCGGCAACCCGGGGACTGCGCCCACCTGCTGAGCCCCCAAAAGGGCGAAACAGGTCGTGAGCTGTCGACGAATTTTCAGTGATCTCATGAGTAGTACATTGCAAAGAAATAACGGGATTTATTTGCACAAAGCCGCTTACCTAACCAAACTGCCAGCGCCAGTTTTGGATATCAGCAAAGCTGAGTTCGTTTTACGGCGTATGATGCCCCCGATAGCGTGATTATAGGCGTCAGGCGTTTGTCGCAGGACCTCAAGCGTTAAACGTTTGTCAACTGAGGTAAGGTAATCTTATGCGACAGCCTATCCATTAAGCGGATTAAGAATGAAAATGGTATATCCTGCGTTAAAATGGCCAATGTTGCCAGCCGGTCGTCGCAGAAATGCTTAACTGACTGGTTGACAGTCCCCGATCTCGAATTGAACAGAAACCCTATAGCATATCTGAATGCCGATTGCACAAACCCGTATGGTTGCTGGTTGCGCAGTAAATGGATTAAAGTAGTGCAGTTTAGGTGTTTCCCAGACACTCTTCGGAATGGATTCGTAGAATTCATTCATTCATTCTCGTTAGAAAAGTCTTCATTCTACGTAAACCCACTTGTTCTGGTGAGTTTGCACAAGAGGTGGAGTGCCTCGGACTCGTGTTTCGTTCAGAATTCCTCGCATCTATTTTCCAATCACCGTGCTCTTTTTTAGAGTAAATACCATTGTGCATAATCGGGCTCTGTTTTCTGTCGCAACTGTCGGATTCCGATCAGAATTAACAACTCACTTCATTGTTCGTGGTATTAGTGAAAACAAACCCGGGTGAATCTTTCGTTGAGTGTATAACCGAACGTAATGCTGCCATACAGTGGGTCTTACTAGTGCAACTCATGAAGGACTCTTGGTTACTTCTGATGCGCTATCGCCTACAAGTTTTATGTCTCTGCGAAATACACACATCTGCATACCAAATTGAAATTTACCAGGAGAGTCAACTGAATTTGGCAGAATAATTAGCGTACATTTCACAATGTGCTACCAGACAAATTCCAGTGGTCTCCTTTTATTAGAATGTGTTTTGAGGACTCTTGTTCTTCATGTTCGAGATAATTACTGAGATCGAATGTGGCCTGTTTTGCCTCATGCTCACGATTTTACAATTTGACACCCAAGAGGACAAGATCACTTTGTTTCAAGAGACCGACACATTCCTAACCGTTCCAGTGCACTAATTAACCGGTTACTCGCAAAATATGTACCTTCGGCTTCGAGGTAGAGGGTTACCAATAGTGAATAGAACCCAAGCTATTCTGTTCGAATTTTTGACCAAATGTAATCTAATCGCGTCTACCCAATGACTTTGGTCGTTAGATCACTGAAAGGAAATAACTGAAAATCTTGTACATGCCTAAGTAGCCACTTGTTTTGTGTATATCATACGGACAAAGGTGTTTCAAGTCGGGTCGAGTGAAAGCGATCTTTTTAGTTAGTCCTCATCTACTGGTTTAGACGTGTACAAAGGGTGCACAATCAAACAAGGCTCTGATTGAGCTTTGACCTTGTTAAAACCGAACATCAGTCTTTGGGACGAGTGTTTGATAAATCTAAACATCTGTATATAAAGTGCGGGCTAAAAATACGAATCTTAATTGTTTCCGCAATTGAAGGAAGCACAGTCTACACAACCCTTGCTACCCTGCCTCGCGCTCCATAAATTGGTTCAAAAGTGGTCAAAGATTAAATATTGTGCTCCACTAGAGTGCATGTAGGCATTACGTCTAGGAAATAAGTAAAAAGATAAATAGATTATCAGAAACATCATAAACGAGAGAATCATCCAAGTGAATCCTCCGTCAGGGTCAAAGTTATATGCAAATGAGCATAGTTCACTAGTCCAGTGTAAGTTTACGAACCCAAAATAGTTGGAACTCTCCAAGCCCCGATTTTACCAGCTGTTCAACGAATGATGCGAGTAGTACGTTTCACCAGATAGACATTTCGGCGTTACAAAAAACGTTGCTTGAAAAACAGAACATCCGTCAGATCGTCTACTGTATTTTAACAAGTAGGTGCGCCATGACTTTCACTTTTTCCACAAAGGTTTAAAGCAAGGCCATAAAGATAAATTCGATTTAAAATATTTATTCCTTCAGATTATCAAGAGGTTTGATCTAAACAGTGATTGTCTTTTTGTAGGACCAGGCTAAGTACGACTCAATTTTTTAGTTTAAAAAAAGCATATCGTATCGTACTTTATTCGGAACCATGTGAAATGGATAAACAAAATAACGAGGTATACGCCAGTTTCGAACACAGCATTTGCTTTCATTTTATGGCGTACTAGCTCAGATACCGCTCTCCATAATTTGTTATTCAACACATATCTTACTTGTGCCCAATCAAAACGATGTTTCATTCCCTTTGAGGTCAAGTGCGTGTCATCATCTAGTCCTTTTGAAGGCAGCTCGAATTTGACAAGTTTTTAGCGCTATCCTTTATAGCATTTTCGGTCCACCCTGTCTGACAGATAAGCGTCCGATACCTCATGTAACATGCCTTTGAAAATAGAAAAGCGCGGTGGAAGCAAATTTTGGAATTCCTCGAACCTAATGGCAACTATCAGTTGATGTTTGGATAACTTGCGACTAAATGTGCTGCGCCACGATGCATCATATATCGCAATAAATTATGTGGACGTAATACAGTAGTCGAGGCAACGTTTATTGAAAAATCCGGTCTACGGCTTGCATTCTGTCCTTTAGGGCTTGCATGGTAGAGCTGAATCGTTCATGAAAAAAACATACCTTGGTTACTGGCCACAGAGTACTACTTGTAGGCTTGTTTTTAGCGAATCGAATGCATCCTCAGAAAGAAACTTCAAAATCCGTATTGTCTTGCTACCTGGTAAATTAGCAACATTTGATCTGGAGGAAATAGCAAGCAAGTCATTCATTTTTTCAGCATTATCGCAACTTCAGGTAGCACTTAATTTCGCGAATATAAATGTGATAACTCATCTGTCAAAATAACGTGTTTTCTTACAGGTAACGATTGCCGTAAGTGAATCCACACAAAATCCCTAAATAATTACACAACAGTTTACATGATTAGGCGTACGTAATTTAAGAAATATACTAACCACAATAACCGAAATTTCATCTACATAGCATGAATTCTGCAGAGATAGAATAGATAGACACATGCAAAAGAGATTCCTACGCCCAAATGAAGGGATGGATAACCAATGTGACCAGCGAATTGTGGTTTCAACAAACCCACGACAAAGGACGCAGCCGATTCATACAAATCTATATATGAATCCTGCTTGCTCTCTGAATCAGAAGTGGACGACAACAGGGCTGCCGGATAAAGTAATAAAAGCGAAAATGCACAGGAGATTGAAGAAACGTGGATTTCAAACAATTCCTGAACAATTCAAAGTAAAGTGGGTGACAAAATTTAAAAAAAAAATTACGCGGCTTAGGGACAACGAAAATCTTCGTAAGGGGCTCTACCGAAACGCTTGAATTACAGACTATTGGAGGCTAAATGTACCTTCAGAAAAACCAAAACATGTATTCATTAAGAGCAATTTTCCAAAATCAAGCCATACTGAAAAAAACATATTCATAAAAAGGTTTATGATCAACGGATTCCAGCGAAAATAAATTCATTCATTCTCATTAAATTTAGCAAAAGAAATTCTCTTGCATAACGATGAATATGATTTTGAATATAGTTGAACACGCCGAATGCACGACGAAGTCAATTTTGAAGCAAACCTACACCAAAGGACCGAGGAAGAATCTACTTCATTCGAATCTCGACCGCATCTTCCGTCTACACGTAATAACATGCAACAACTAAGTGGTTGGTAGGCGGTTGACCAAGTTCAGAAAGGCTTTGTTGAACAAAACTTACTCTAATCACGAGAACTCCGTCCAACACTGAAATCTCACATTGAGATGATGTGATGCTGAAGTGTGGTCGCTCATTCGTGAGTTTGAAAATTCGTCGAACATTGCCATTTGAATCTGGTTTGTACAATCATCAAGGTGGAAGCATGATAGTCAAGCTGATGGTTTGTTCGCAGTGTGCTCACGGTTGGTTTGGCATAATTGTCATTCATTCGGGTAAGACCATGTATTAAATTACCCCTCCACCCGCCAATCGCATTTCACAATATTCGTCGACACTTTAGTGTAGCGTGGTAAAACGTGACTGATCTGCAACCTCATAGAGCTTCGATTTACATGTCTGACACTCACACGAACACACACACCCTGTTTCTCATCTATCCTCCGCGGCGTTCAACCCCATTCCTCAATGCCCCCATTAGCCCACCAACGAACAATTTATCTCGCACCAATTTCTAGATAATCGAAAATCGCCTAAATTTCAATCGATTCATAGGCCCAGTTCAGCCAAAACAGCTTACCCCAACCAGGATACAAAGAATCACAGACGCATATTCGGTGGTCAGACTATCCTGGATAGACGATTCTCCGTGTAAACCGGTCACGTTCAACTTCACCTACATAGCCCCAGATGGCACGAGTCTTATGGAGAAAACCAACCAAACCCATGTGACCATAGATTGGGCAGACAAATGTTATCCAATACGTATCCGACTCCAGGGACAACACGGAAACGACACTGGACCCGCCTTGGAGAAGAGTGTGAGCCTAATTCCAGGTAGGCGATCGTGTTCCAGATCCACTCCTGCCGAATTATGTCACATGCTCTTTTCAGTGAAGGCCTGTTGTGAGTGCACGGTGCAGACGCCTTGTTCCCAATCGAACAAAGCGAACTTAATTACCTGCATTGACAAATTAGGTTTCGCACTAGTCTGGTCGTTTTCCTTCCTCAGTCCTGACGGACTCGGAACTCCGAATTGTGCTCAAGAGCTGGTGGCCATGGTGAGGCTTGTGAACACAAGGCAGCTCCGGCCAGTCTCGATTGATGATCAGAACAAATTTGTCATTATTCCCCCTTTCGACGAATTTGTGTTTGCGGAAGTGGAATGTCTGCATGTGACAGTGAGGACACCGGTACTGTCTGGTTTCCTGTGACAAAACGCGCATGACCTAGACTGCTTTAGACCTTCGACGGTCAATGTTTCATGGCGATAGGTGCGATGGGCTGGTGTCCAAGAATTCGTACAGAATGGATCGGGAAACGAATTGCGGTCAGTCATGAGCACTAGAATTTTAGGTGGTTTGATCATGTGCTACGCACGCTCTGCTGTCGCTCACGAAATGTCGCCGTGATATTTCCCCGTGTTTATTTTCAATGAAACATGCTGCCCAGAGTTAGACAGCAAGTGGAAACGAGCGAGGAATAACGAAACTAACTATGAGACGAATGTCCTGCACATTCAATAAGTGCACAGTCGTGAAAAAGACAAGACACCGGAAACCGGACAGGAGCTGGTGATGACTAAGAAAACAGTGGATCAGAAACTATCCATGATTACCTGATGGATATTCAGGGTGAAAAGTGCGTGCGGATTTCGAGGGACGAGATATTTGTCCTTGGTATTGCTTGGTCTCTGGACTATTGAGGATGTNTGTCCTGCACATTGAATGAGTGCACAGTCATGAACAAGATAAGAAATATGATTTCGACCAGATCTAAACTGACTAGTGCGAGGACACGAGGTGATGATGACTAAGAAAGCAGTGGATCTGAAACTATCCATGATTTCCCGATGGATATTCTGGGTGAACATTGCGTGCGGATTTTGTGGGACGAGTTATTTGTCCTAGGTTTTGCTTGGTCTCTGGACTATTGAGGATGTCACACGATTGGAAATGCTTTCGGAAATCCCAACATGGTTATTCTTCCAGAATGCTTCCCTACTAATCAGTCATGGGGAATAAACGCATTCATAACGGTGTTTGACATGTTTCCGTGAACTGTCGTTTAAGAAAAACATCACGGGCGAGTTTGTTCCAGGAACTTCCGATTCATTCTTTTTCTATAACGCTGGCAAACACCAAGCTCTTGCATAATGCCAAATATGAAGTTCGAGATACTTGACTTGAACACACACCTGCGAAGTGTACATTGAAGCACACCTACACCAAAGGACCGAGGAAGAATATACTTCATTCGAATCTCGACCGCATCGCATCTCTACACGTAATAACATGCAACAACTAAGTGGTTGGTAGGCGGTTGACCAAGTTCAGAAAGGCTTTGTTGAACAAAACTTACTCTAATCACGAGAACTCCGTCCAACACTGAAATCTCACATTGAGATGATGTGATGCTGAAGTGTGGTCGCTCATTCGTGAGTTTGAAAATTCGTCGAACATTGTCATTTGAATCTGATTTGTACAATCATCAAGGTGGAAGCATGATAGTCAAGCTGATGGTTTGTTCGCAGTGTGCTCACGGTTGGTTTGGCATAATTGTCATTCATTCGGGTAAGACCATGTATTAAATTACCCCTCCACCCGCCAATCGCATTTCACAATATTCGTCGACACTATAGTGTAGCGTGGTAAAACGTGACTGATGAGCAACCTCATAGAGCTTCGATTAACATTTCTGACATTCACACACACACACACACACACCCACACCCTGTTTCTCATCTATCCTCCGCGGCGTTCAACCCCATTCCTCAATGCCTCTATTGGCCCACCAACGATCAATTTATCTCGCGCCAACTTCCGGATAATCAAAACTCCCCCTTAATTCCAATCGATTTGTAGGCCCAGCTCAGCCACAACAGCTTACCGCAACTGTAATCGAAAATATCACAGAGGCATATTCGGTGGTCAGACTATCCTGGATAGACGATTCTCCGTGTAAACCGGTCACGTTCAACTTCACCTACATAGCCCCAGATGGCATGAGTCTTATGGAGAAAACCAACCAAACCCATGTGACCATACATTGGGCGGACAAATGCTATCCAATACATATTCGACTCCAGGGACAACACGGGAACGACACTGGACCCGCCTTGGAGAAGAGTGTGAGTCTAATTCCAGGTAGGTGATAATGTTCCACATCAACTTCTCCCAAAGTACCAAAGTCAATTGCCCTCTTCTGTGAAGGTCTGTTGTGAGTGCACGGTGCAGACGCCTTGTTCCCAATCGAACAAAGCGAACTTAATTACCTGCATTGACAAATTAGGTTTCGCACTAGTCTGGTCGTTTTCCTTCCTCAGTCCTGACGGACTCGGAACTCCGAATTGTGCTCAAGAGCTGGTGGCCATGGTGAGGCTTGTGAACACAAGGCAGCTCCGGCCAGTCTCGATTGATGATCAGAACAAATTTGTCATTATTCCCCCTTTCGACGAATTTGTGTTTGCGGAAGTGGAATGTCTGCATGTGACAGTGAGGACACCGGTACTGTCTGGTTTCCTGTGACAAAACGCGCATGACCTAGACTGCTTTAGACCTTCGACGGTCAATGTTTCATGGCGATAGGTGCGATGGGCTGGTGTCCAAGAATTCGTACAGAATGGATCGGGAAACGAATTGCGGTCAGTCATGAGCACTAGAATTTTAGGTGGTTTGATCATGTGCTACGCACGCTCTGCTGTCGCTCATGGTCTAAATAATCAGAATTCACATGAAATTCTGTTCGGCGAACACGGGTTTGTGTGAAGGAGTACGTGAGAGAAGGAAAGGACCGTGTAGTCCTGAACCTAGGGTTCTGTCCACGCAGTTCGACATTGAGGATGGGGTTTATAGAACTTCACTTGTGACCAGCTGATACTGTGATATCTTGCAAAACACGTTGATGACTGTAGGGTGGCAGACTGACCAAATGCGTGCTGTTGTCTAATGGATTGCCTCAGATAATATAATAGGTTCTGTGATAGTCAATGAATCATCATGAGGGTTTGAGTGCACACCTGCAAATTTCCGGTTTTGTAGAATGATGTGCACAAATGTCTTCCAATTTTCTATCCAGCAGTTTGTAACTGGCAATTTTGTGTTTTTATTAAACGATTTTTTATCGATGTACTTTTCTTCTCACATTGGAATTTTTGATTGTGCTACTGGTAATCGAGAATTGCACCGCATAAATGCACGACTGAACTGAACTGAACTGAACTGGACTGAACTGAACTATGCAATTTGAGAGTCTTCATTACGGGTAAGTTTGCAAAATCCCACTTTGTTCCCATGACTTTTACCGTTGACTATTCACTTTTGAAACCCGGGAGTAATCGACTAGATTTACGAGCCTATCACGTGGATATCAGAGCAATGTTGACGATTCAGCTCCGGCATCAATTAAACGGCTCTCTCCTAAACCGGCACTGCGTGGCAAGTCAAGCTGACCTTGTGTGGGGATTACGAGTCCGAAGTGTATACAATGCATTGTATACATGCAGTTTATATCTCCTATCGTCACACCGCAGTCTCGTTTTACGAGGGCGGGGCGTACCACGAGGGATTTCTCTGGCAAGAGCTAAGACCGACCGACTAGATCTAAACTGACTAGTGCGAGGCATAACCGATGGGTCTTAGACAGGGTGGAATGGGTGTTGGACTCTCCACAAGTTTGTGTCACTCTCAGTGGTTACGCTTTCATTTCGGCCAATAGTTTGAATCATTCCTGCCACATATATCGCCTAAGAATGTTGACCAGATCTTCTGCTTTCCAAACTCATTCAAGCACCAAACGCTCCGTTCGGCGTCAGAGTTAGTCCGGTCAGTGGTCAGACTCAGGCGTACAATATAGCTTGGAATGACAACTCAGAGTGCGGGTCGCCCAGATATGTGGTGAGTCTGTACAACACACAGGGTCAAATGGTCAAGGAACACGAGACCGCTCGTCGAGACATGATAATCAACTTGGACGATTCCTGTGAAAACCTTGATGTCGGAATCAAAGGAGTGAACGAGGCTGGTGCAAGCGAAGAGTCTTCAAGAATCGCATTGGTCAGACGTACGCGTAAGTGTGAATTGATCGTGCAAGTGGAACCTCTTGACCAGTGTACTGATGTTGCATGTTCTTACAGACACGCTAGTTCTTATTTGTCTATAATCATTGTCCAATCAGAAACACGATGATGAAGAGTACTAGAAGGCAAACGGACGTTTCCCAACCCCCTCCCCCCGAACATAAATTATGACGTGTTCACTAGATTCGGCGATGGTTCTTTGCCACCGAGGAAATCGTCTTCGAAAATGCGTTTGCAAAGCATTGTTTGAAAAATTGCCTTAACCTATTTACCCGCATTGAAATATAGTCCCGGTAATGCAATCGGGTATACACCAGTATACCCGATCATCTCTGACTAACTGAGAGTGTTTAAAATGTTTGAGGGCACTACCTGATTCCGGTGAAAATAAGTGATGAAGATGCTAGCTGGTAAAACGTGGTTGTGGTGACAGCACTGACCACTACGCAGTTGCCTCCATGAAAATACCTGACAGTGATATTGTCGATGATATTTTTGAATAAACACTGCGATCCTATGGTTTGCAGCAGAACAATGCATAGGAAAACAGGAGAGCGGGAAGAGCAAGCAGCGCAGTAGCGCACTAAACATCGAGTTCGGTGGTTCCAGATACGCAAAATGGAGGACGTACTGGTCGATTGGACGTGACACACTGCTCATGGGTTTTTGGAAGCTCGGAGAGCTATGACAACCCACGACCGGTTTTCCCTTCTCCGTGGTCTCATTAGGTAGCCAAAGTTTTTAATGCTAGGTGGGTGAATGATGACGAGAATTCAAGTCCGGTTATGGCTGAGATTCGTTGGTTCCAAATCCCCCTTTTATCTGTTCTTCGTAGTAAGATTTTACGAATCTCGATACGTGTTCGTTTCAGTTCGGCCAAGTCCCACCTTGTCCCACACTAACTTTATTATCATCCACAATCCTCAACTCAGCCCCGTTTCGCTGAGGACGCTAGTTTTTTACATATAGCCTACTCCTAGATGTTTGTTTCATCAACGTATGCAAGCCTTTGACGCGTTGACGTGTTCAACCTGCCTCTATATCCTTAAGGCGTTAATGACTGTATTTTCTAGGGTGTCTCGATTTCCCGACAACCTTGCAGGATGTCGGTGTTGTTTTTTCTTATCCACTCTGTTCCTGCATTGATTCCATGCAGAGAGTAACCTATATGTACAGGTTTGAACGGGATTCATTTTGGTAAACTCCCAAGGCGATCGATATCGTTCGCCCGGTGACATGCTCTTGGAAACTACGTTTTTTTCCAGAAATTACCACATTATAGTTGAAAATCTTATCTTTTGTAGCATTTCCCGCACAATTCTTGTGTTAATGTTTTATTTAAACGAGCGAATTTCCAAGGTCAACTGATTCCCCGAGTTGGAACTTAGTGGATAATGGAATAAAATATCGCAGTTTCGCGGAAAATATAGGTTTTCTCAAAAGGGTGATATTTTTATCAGCAGTTCTACAGTTATAATGTCTTGTGGAGCTTATTACAGCTCAAAGCTTGCTCGAGGATGCAAATATGCAGGAGGAACACTACTGTATCTCAATTTTTCATACTGTCTTCTGCTCCAGAAATCGCATGCCACATCGTGTACTCGTACCTCGAGAAGTTTTGTTCCTAGTAATCATCGTGATATAAACATTTAATGATTTTTGACAACTAGTACGAGTTTCGAAGTAGATAAGGCTTGCAGGTGATAATGATGTGCAGATGGCCTAAGGATGTAGGTCGAATTTTCCGGTACACCGCTTGATATCAACATGTCATATTGAGGTCCTGTTTGCTGGCAGCACTTATCTCTATTACAAATCTCTATTACAAACTAAAGGGCCTTCCGTAGCTGATCCCATAGAAATGTCAAATAATTCGAGACAAGGTTCGTACATAATGTCCAGTAAATACATGGCCACCTGTAGTCTAATGAACCGCATCATCAAGAGGAAGATCTCAGGAGGTCAGCCGTTCGTGATAACCGAACACCAAGTCGATTAGATGGATGTCACATATGGGCTACAGACTAAATAAAGGCACGTCATGACTGGTCAGAATGCCAGCCATTCTGGACCTAGCATCTGTAGCTCGGCACTTCTGGCCCCGTCACGAAATTTTAAGCGCAACCTTGGAGAATATTCCATGATGAGCAAATAAATGTAGGCGTAACAGCCCCTTTATCGCCATAGGCGATATCTCATGCTAGTACCTTTCGGCCTACCATAGTTAACGGAGCGGGAAGCGAACTACCAATATAGAAGTCACAGCACCGTTTGCAGTACAACACACGATGCAAACAAACGCCTTCGCAGCTGCGGGTGAACTCGCAGACTACATGAGAGACAGACAGAATAAAGATTCTAGACTCACTGTTCCGCAGAGCCAATCCTTTGGTTACCGACCTATTTTCTTGTTTAAGATACCAGTCAAATGTCTGTTTGGGCGTAGTGGTCTACACGTCGTTCTGATACTACACTGAAAGACGGGTGATGGAATCGAGCACCCACAAGTTAATATTGTACTTGGCCATTTTATTTACTCATTCTTGGTGTTTCGCTCTGTTTAACTGTTGATTGGTCGTATGTGGTTCCTAATTTAATGCTTGATTTCTTTGGCAGAACAAGTTGGCCCGGAGATCACGCTATCCAAACAACTGATGAGCTCCTTATACGACACATTCCAAAAGTATACAAAATCGATGACTGAAATTCTAAACACCCTTATGGCCCTCTAGTGGGAATGTGTGTGGATGCTGAAATTGTTGCTGGTCTTGTCTCCATCGTGTATGAACTCCTCATTCTGTTGAACTTTATGCTTCAACAGGCCTGCTGCCTACTGTCTGACAAAGAATTCCGTCATCTACTAACCTTTCTCTCATGCGGCGGTCGGTTTCTGTTTGCTCTCCTCAACTTTTATCTACTTCTCGCGAGGTCATGCGCATGAATACATACGACAGCTTTCGCTAGAACTCTGAATTTTGTCTTCCAGATGGGGCCTGATCTTGGGGGTGAAATGAAGCTCATGCGCAGGTTGCCGACCATATGCATCATATAACTGGTAGCCAAAGTGTCCACGCTATGCCCCATATTTGTGGCATTCACGACAACGATGTGAAACCCTCAAAAGTTGCGGACGCTAATTGCAAAAGTGCGTTCCCTCTGTAAACATTGGAAACATCCTAAACAACTTGACATAACAATCATAAATTATGAAAGCCAGTTCTAACGGTTGTACACAACCAGCGACCCACCAATGCTCTCCATGCCCCTTAAAAACGCACTGAGGTTGTCACCACGAATGTTACTGAAACGTTTGCAATCAAATCGTCTGGCTCAACGAACAAACCAGTGACCACCTGAGCTACCAAATTTCTACTCCACTGCAAAACTTCTAGAAGCTCCGAAGATGTCTGCCAAGGCTAGTTCATAGCTATTCGTGCTCAGGTAGTTGAGCATCGGACACATTCAGAATGTTACAGTAATTAGACGGGGATTCAGTTCACAAAAGTATTGTCGCCAAAGGAAATAAACTTCACACGTAAACGTGTGAAGAATAGTAATAGTAATAACAATAGCAGTAAATAATAATAGTAGAGAGTGGAATTGGTAGCACTGAGTGTCGAAATTCCCCACGTCTTTGGGGGTAACGATCAAGATCAATTCGTTTGCACCTATAAATGTTAATGGATGGATAATATCTCTGAATCATGTAGGCAAATCACGCCGCTGCGTGACATTAGGAAATTCTGTTTTGATCCCACATGAATCCGTCGCATGGGATCGAACTGCGTCGTCGCGAGATGATGACATGCTCGCCGCTGAGGTCGATTGCGTGCCAGGAAATACAGTATTAGGTAGAGGTTGTTTTGGAATTTGGAGCATCCACATCACTATCGTATGAGCAATTATAAAAATGTAGATTTGCCAACAAATAAAAGCCAGACATCTGCAAGATGCATCGAGTGGGACCCAGCCAACAAAGACCTCGCACCACCCAAATTGACTATGACCATTTTCATTTCGCATCACCACCTCATGATCCACCTTCTGTAGTGTGCTTGCCAACAAAGGAATGGAGCTGAAGACGGTCGATCCACATTAGCAAGCTCCCTAGAATGATTTATAAGGGATATTAGAAGACACAAGAGCCCGATGAAAGGTTCTGGTTCGCCATTCTATCCTAGAATGGCGAGGCTTACGTACGCATGCGTAGACTAGTGTGGTCAAACCACGAACTTTGAGACCTGCCATTCAGCTGGAGTGCGCATTCATAGCAATACCATAGCTCCCTGAATGACAAGCAATGCGTCACCATATGGTGGTCACTAAATCATCTTTATCAAGGACACTCAAGGTCATATCCAAGAATATATCAAAGATATATCAAGACCGAATATAGTCCAGCCTGGCGGATGTGGATGTTGGGATTCAAAATACGGACATCCCAGGTCCAAAACTGAACGTAGGAAAACGACACTTACCGCAAGAGAATCGAGTATGATCTGCTAAAGTCATTCACCATCATAAAGTGGAAATACACCTGGATTAAAATGGGTCTCCTGTCAAAGCCACCTTCGTATGAGAGTGTTTGTCCAAACCATTCTGGGAGTGTGTTATCGGTTAATTTAGGCCAAGGTTCAACAGATCTGCAGTTTGAATCATAGAAAACTCCAAACTGTCCGTTTTCCATCCGAGACATCCCTACCTCGAATTTCTCTATGGCCACCAATCCGTTCCACAATGTTGTTGTTGCTGCAGTATGACGACTATGAAAAATATAAAGTGAATTCAACATGCCGGATTTTAGATGTAATTATGATCGTAAATGATCGGTGCATGTTCAGCAAATGTCCCAAGGTTTCCTTCGTGTGAGGCACAAGCAGCCGGAAAGCCCTTTACCCGACTAAAATCAACATGGTGTGAGTTAACTGGGACAAAGTCACTTTCT